CACTGATTTCAGTGCCCCAGCCCTATAGAGGCTCCTAATGTTCCAGGTACCAAATCTCATGTCCTTTTTCAATTGCCGTGGTCGTGCCAAAGAGTCCGTCCTGATCCGAGGCTTGGTTGATTTTTTTCGTAACACATATTTTTTTTTTTAAAGGTGAAAGGTTGTTAGCCCTCCACCCAACCCCCAACCTGGAGGACCAGGGTATCACTCTTAGTCTAGCGCATCTCCTTAGACCTGTCCGGCTTGGGTGACCCTACCATGAGCCGAAGCTCAGGCCGGCATAGCCCTAAGGGTCATTTGAGCACGCAAGCCTCCTCACCCGGCAGATTGCCTTCGACAAGGTGGTGATACCTTCGAGAAGGCATAAGACTTAACAAATCTTAAAAACAGAAACAAAAAATATTTACCTTAAACATATCAGTATGTCCTAACTGTATAATACCTGACTGCCTGAATGTTCTTTGAAATCTTTCCATTTTTCCAATTGTTAATGGTTCAGTTTCTCCTCCAATATCATTATCACCTGGCAGGAAAACAAACTATGAATAAAAGAGAGAAAAAGCATGAGAAACAATCCGCATTTAGTGGTTTTTAAAACAACAATCACCGCCATGTCTGAGAACAAGTACAGAATGCAATCTGAGGTTACAGGCCACATCTCATGAGCCAATATGAATTTCAGAAACAAGACGGCTGTGTTCTAGGCTGTAGCACCACACAGTCTGGCAGAATTTTACCAACACTTCATATAACCTTGCTGCCTCCATCATTAGGATAATGACAAGGTAATTGTTCCAAAAATAAGACTCAAGTCACTGATGTGACAAATTCAACAGAAATAATATTTTATAACATTTCAAACAAAATCACAAGAAATTCCTTCAACCTGTATTGTCCATGCATTGTTGCATTCCAGCATCACACCCGCATACCACTGAAATGTTAACACTGAAGTTAAAATTTGGCTACCAGCCCCATAATACAGAGCTTTAAATTCCATAATCCCATATGATAACGGTAAAAGTCGATGCAACAAATAAGAACACAATTCAAGAAAACAAACAGCTGCTTGTTCTGTCATGGATGTAGTATAATGTTCAGTGATAATGTGGTTCAATAATGAACAGTACTTACCTTAACACTAGGGTCAACATTAAACACATCATAAAACCTTTTCATGTATCTTCCGTATTCTTCATTTGTGGCAATACTTCCTTCATCCAAAATGTCTCCAAGGAACACAACAACATGTGGATTCACATGGTAAAAAGCCTTTTGAAAAGTCTTGTATAGGTACCTAAAAATATCATAAAGCCACACTTTAGTAATTTGTAAATGCATTTAAAAATGCAAAATATTTTATTTTCAAAGCTTTCTATGATGGCACAACAGGCAAAATCTTAATTAAATCTAGAAACATGTTCTTGCATATATAGATATGCCAGGATATACATATATATAATAATGATGTATAAATTCATAAATATAATTATGGCATGCACAGAGTGTTACATTTCAAATTGTATAAAAAAATGCAATATGTATACTCATTTTACATGTTCTACTCCTGCTATGACTGAACTGTTGTCACAACTCATTCCACTGTTACAATCACCTGTCACTATCCCACCGTGTTAGTGCGCCTCTTGGGAAATTAGTTTCATACTGCTCTCCAAGAATCTGAGGATCAGCAACCAGCAGAATTTTTATGCATTTTGATGAAGTATCACAGTGAATGTCTGGCCATGAAAACCACTTTTTAAGGGAATAAACTATATATTCGTTATAGATGAGAACTGCTATTATAATTACTAGTATAATTCTTGCTGTGCTCCTGCAAATAAAATAAAAATTAATTCATACTGTCGGTTAATTTTACCATAAGAGACATACTTGTCGGTTATCAGTTAATCAGTGCATTTTCCTAAAAAGAAAGGTGTCAGTACTCAGATGTTACAAAGGAGTATGATACATTTCTGAACTTCATAGTTCTCTTATCCTTCCATCATTAGCATAGCTGTTTTGTTCTATGAAAAAAGATGCTAGTACACTGTACCATTGTGCATCCCCAGAAAAGAGTCCTGGTTATAATTAATGTAGAGTTGGAAACAATTATTCGATTGCACACAATGGTTATTTCTGTGTTACATAGCTACACTGAAATATGGTAAATAGGGAAGGGTTCATATTTCAGTTATCACATAGTTCCCAGTACTAGACACTTGTGAATTTAACAACTCAGTATTTTTATTCATTTCCTAATGACTAAAAGACTGAACAATGGTACTAAGAATTAAACCTCTGTAAAAAGAGTGAAAAATGTTACTGACTACAACAACAACCTGTCAATAAGTCTCGAACATGCAAATTTCTAGCAAACAAAAGAACACACTTGACTTCATGAAAAAAATTTTCTCACTGGTCAATTCGCAAATCAGGTTATAGGCAACACACAAAAAGGTTAGGAGGGTCACAGCCTAGTGGTCCAAGGTTGCTGGCCTCTCTTATCACATAAACCTATTTTGAATATAAGTTAATTTTCCTATTTTCCTTTGATTGTCATAATAATTTATTTTTTGTATCATACACAGCCTCTCTTCTCTGGTCAGCATAGACCCCTATATATTCATTTTTAGTGAAATTGAAAATTAAAACAATTACAATAAAACTGTTCTAAAATATTACATGCGGCAGGCATGACTTGTCTCTGGACCTTAAGTTCTTTCACACCTACTTAGTTACCACTATAAGCAAGTTTAAATTAACCTCTGCTTGTTAAACATGAGTGTAAACAAAGAAAAAACTTCTTAGGTCCTTGCTTATCCATTTATACGACAAACGCATGGCTTGTGTAACATTTGCATTATCGTAGAAAAAAACAAAAAGAAAAATATATGTGTTAAATTAGATAATTCATGCGAGCTTCCACATATTTCCTCATTCCACACAATCAATTCATGACGCCATACTTCAAAACACACTCGACCTTGATTCAGTATTCTCTAGATAGTCTGCTTACAACGTCCACAAAAGTTTACTATCTGAACCAGGCTACTGATCAGACAGGTGAAGCCGTTTCTCTCCATGGTGACAATATAACAACCTGGTGGACTTGCGCGATAATGGTCTTGTACCATATGACAATGAAATAAACTCTCTTTCGGTTTGCATATGTAAGGTAGAGGAAATGGAAATAAATAATTGGATGGGTGAGTTGTGTTGGTGTGCACAAATATGACTCGAAGTGTTTGTTCATGTTATGAAGTTGTTTATTGTAATGTCTTATATACTGATGAATTTCCACCTAACGATCTTAAAATATCTAGGATAACGTTTAGCCTACATCTCATTACCCAACCACGTAACCATTCCTCAGCATGGGAGGAAATTCCATTCAATTTTATAGTCATTGTTTGGTGAATGAGAGTTTACGACGGTAATTGTGAGTTTTGCAAAAGATTTTGTGCAGTTTGTGTGATTGAGTAAAATATTGTATACAGAGTAAATACTTTCTTGTTCGTACTATTGAATTTATTAGCTGGGGTAACTTGTTTGAAAATAATAAACGGTGCTGTATGTGAAAGGTCATGGCAGATGCTGAGGAAAAGGAATCGTGTAAAACTGTATGTAAGAAGTTTATATGCTGCAATTAGCAAGTATTAGCTCTGATGACAATTGGTACCAGAAAAATTCTGCAGGTTTGCTTAGAAGGACATTGAACAGATTAAACAAAGTTGGCTGTCATCTGGGTTGTACTGCCATATAGTCTGGTAGAAGTTTTCCAATGTTTTAGGGATCCTTGCTGCCTCCATCATCAGTGTGATGAGTAAGCTACGTGCATGGAATCAGTTTGATTTATAAGAAATGGACAGTTAGGCAAGTCAATCGAGAACCTTTGAAACAACTGTAAACTTTTACCAGACTACATGGTGCTACAAAACAGCCATCTTTGGTCTTTGCACTGTGAAAACCTCAAATCCTACTGAGATTAAACAAAGTTGGCAATGTTATGCATATATAATTATTATACAATTCAGTGTTACCAGTTATGAATTTTTTTGAGGACTTGACCGTCTGATTATACGTTACAGGTAGTAGTATCCAACTGTAATTATTGCTACCAATCTAAATGTTTATTTACAATATAATAATTAATACTTTTGTCATTTTAGCATCTTCTAAAATATTTATACTCTGTGTCATTACAATAGAAATAGAAAAATAGAAAATATGTCAAAATTGCTCACACTGAACATTTACAGGTATAATTATGCGTGAGGGCATATCAAAGAAGTTTAAGTTATGAAACGTATATTTCCAAACATCAGCTACTAGGATTTGAGGTTTTCACTGCGGTAAGTCTGAGGATGGCTGTCGTCTGGGTTGAGCTGTAGAGTCTGGTAGATGTTTACCAATGGCAAACTTCTGTCAGACACAGCCATTTTCAGACATGTATTGTGCTTGAATTGAGGTATGATGCAATAATTATATTTGTGAACAACTGTAGGGATAGCTCAGTCAGTATAGTGACTAGCTGCGGGCTGGATGACCGGGGTTCGATCCCTGACGGGGGCAGAGGATTTTTCCTCTAGCCTCTGCGTCCAGACCGGCTCTGGGGCCCACCCAGCCTCCTCTACCATCGCCTACATAGCGTATAGTGGGACAAACTTTACTTTTTAAAACTGTAGAGCTTAAAGAAGAATGTTAAATAAAAAACTAGAACATGTTTCATTTAATGCATGTAAATCACAACAACAGAAAAGAAGGATTACAGAAGCAAAAGCAATGTCACTATTGACTGATTTTGTAAAGAAAAATTATTGAGCAGTATGTCAACCAGTTTGTAATAGGAGGCCTAATTTAGTAGCATTGTTAATGAACTGTAATGGTGTAAGATTTGAGGTTTCACAGCAGTGAGTATGAAGATTTCTGTTTTCTGGGTTGTTGCGCTGTGTAGACTGGTCGATGTTAACCAACGTTTCAGAGGTCATAATGCCTCCGTCATCAGGGCAATGAATAAGCAGGCTACACCATTCACATTCCGGCACCTATAAATCTAGCACCACACACCCTACTGGCTTATTCATCGCCCTGATGACGGAGGCAGTATGACCTCTGAAACGTTGGTTAACATCGACCAGTCTACACAGCGCAACAACCCAGAAGACAGAAATCTTCAACTGTAATGGTGTTTCAGTAAATTGTCCTCATTTATAACCCTGTGGCCATGACCATGAATACATATCCAGGTCTCAAAAATGTTGAGAACTCCTGACATAAAAGAATAGTGCAGTAGTAGTAGTAATAGTAGTAAACTAGATGATGAAATAAATCAGTATAACATCCGAGACATACCTGAGCCACAGAAATATCAGTTATCTTCTTGATTGTGATGATGTGTAGTCATTTATTTCGGTTTCCAGTGTTTCAGAGGAATGCATTGCTTCTATCTGCAGAGTAGAAGTGGTGATACATTTCTCTGAAACATTGGTGACCATGCACAGAACTGCATGGTGTTGCAACCCAGAAGATCATGTTTGACATATTCTCTGCCATGAGAGCTTCAAACCTCAGGCAGAGAAGTAATCTTGAGTACGCCAAGTTTCAATACTCTCATAGTAAGCTATTATAATTTAATACTTACAAATGACTTCTGACACCTTTACAACTAATCATCTTGAGAACTGGGATAGCATAGTGTGGCTTTTCATATATTACATGGCATGTCTTCTTTCTTATCATAGTGTTAGGTAACCAGGTGTTTTCATATCTGAAAATAAAACGTTGATAGATAGATTTCACAGATTACAACTTAATTGGTAAGCCTGTTGGTATAATAATCATATCTCTTTGAAAATTGGAGTCTTAATCAGTATTAATAATAGACTTGTATATTTATTTAATTACTCAGTGTAGTATAATGTTTCCACTTCATCATATACAAAGGAACGTGTTGCAGACCCATTTGTAAGTTTTACTAAAATTTCATAGTTATGATGAACTTAATGGAAATTTATTAATGATGGTGTTTTGCCTGTATTTGATATTTGACGAATAGAATTAAACAATTACCTGAAACTTAAAATACTTTTGTGCATAATACACAAATTACATTAGTGACTTTCCAGTGTACATAAGAAGCCAAGACATAATTTATCAGACTGCTGTCAGTTAGTTACAAAGTAGAATAATTACAGTTAGTCTGTAATTACATTGATACCTCAAGTAACCCACCTAAATTAGTTTGCTTTACGATATTGTAGTCAAGTTCCATTTATCAAAAAAGGAAAGGTGCAATTTAAAGTCACAAGTTCATTGTTTTTTAGCTGTTGTGTTTTAGAATACTCCTATTCACAAACCACAAAGTAAAAGAAGTATAACGAAAATTAAGTGGGTTTTCTTTTTTATGGTATTGTGTGTGATTTGTATTAATTAGGGTTCTGATTTGAAGTTTTAGCTAAAGAACAGTCATTCCAAATGGTCACGTTGTAGTTTTCCTCCATCCTTCCAGGTGCATATGAAGTTTGTCCCTTGAAATATGTCATTCCATGTTCACATTTCATAATTTGAAATCGTTCCTTACTTTTGCTGAGACGTATCAAACTGGTATGTTCATATTTTTTTTTACAGTGTGGAGAAGTACAAGAAATGCACCAAGTGGTGTCAGTACTTCAGAGTTTTATTTAGATCCTGGCTTGCCTATTGTTTATCCATATTCAGTCTTTCCAGGTCATTGTCAAGATAGAGTAATTCTTTCTTAATCACCTCTTTGCAGATCCTTAGCTAGTTACCTTCCATTTTCATCTTACACATAGTGTTGTTAAATAATATAAGACACAGTTAAAGAAGTGCAAATGATTTAATGGATAAAATATAGATACAGATTTGCAACAAATGTATTTAGAAAATTACACCAATTAGTGAGAAAAGGCAGCTGGTAGAAGGTAGGAAATTTAAATTATGTTAAAAAAGTTATATAAAAATACAAATACTGTGATAAATGAATCAAGTGTTTAGTGCACAAACAGACAGAAGGCTGTGTAGTCTTTTTTATAAACTGACCAATGCATCATTGGTATGGATATGGAACTCTGTTTCTGTGTACCAGATAGGATAGACAGCAAGTAAATATTTGCACAAGTGCTGTGACATATGTTAGATATAACCTTGTTTTCAATATAGATTATATATTTTGTGTGTTGCTTGTTCCAGAGTAACAGCAAGTCAGATGAATGAATGACTGATTGAAACCTTACTTGTTAGTTTTACATTACATATTTCAACAATGGGGTCAGTTGCTTTGGAGGAATATGAACTCATGAAGGATTCAAAGTACAGAGTGTAAGTAATTGTATTAGGATATTGTTTGATACTGTAATGATGTGAAATTTAAACTTAGCATTGTTTTTATTGCTCTTTTTAAGTTGTGACATTTTTTAAGGTTTTTCATCAGAAACCTCTAGACTGAAGTGATTTGTGTTGACAGGTATGTCTCAGCAGTAGACAAAGCCTTGAAGAATTTTGAATATACAAGTGAATGGGCAGATCTTATATCAGCCTTAGGAAAGCTTAACAAAGTAAGTGTACTTTTATTTATAAATTAAATATATTCATTTGTTAACATTCTGAATGTTATGTTCTTGAAGTTCAATAAAATACTGGAATGAGTGTTGAATTGTGTATTTGTTTTAATAGGTGTTATTAAGTCATATGAAATTTCCTGTTATTCCACGCCGCATCAAAATAAGCAAGCGTCTGGCCCAGTGCATGCATCCGGCTTTGCCGTCTGGTGTCCATCTGAAGGCACTGGAAACATACGACATCATTTTCAAATGTATGGGCACAAATAGACTCAGCAATGAGTTGTTCATTTATAGTGCTGGTAAGTACGTTTGTGATCATGAATTCAACAAATAATTGTCTGAAATAAGCCTTTTGTGTGTGTCCTGCCCAATTCTTCGGACCATACCAATATATTTGTCAGTTTCCCTCTAAACTTATTTTTAGGTCTGTTTCCTCTGTTGGGTCATGCTGCAATGAATGTACGGCCATCTCTTCTAACTGTATATGAAACCCATTTTGTTCCACTTGGTGAAAGGCTGCGACCTGGACTTAGTGGGTTTCTTAGTGGTGTTTTACCTGGTCTTGAAGAGGGTTCTGACCATTTTGACAGGTAAGCTTTTGGTTTGTTTAAAGATGCTTTTAGTTGCTTAAATTACATAGCATTGAGCAGTAGGATGATCAGTGAATAATGAATTGAAAAAAGATATGCAGTTGCTTAAATTACATAGCATTGAGTAGTAGGATGATGAGTGAATAATGAATTGAAAAAAGATATGGAAGTAAGTTACTGTGGTCTCATTTAAAGTACTATTACAGCTTTTTCATAGAGGGACTGCAGAAAACCACAAAAAATCTCATTCATTATAGCTGTTCTCCAGGCTGAGGTTTGAACCCAGGATTTCTTGAATACTAATCAGGAGAGAGATCCACTCAACCACAGTCACTTTTTTACAGTTTTTTGTTTTGAAAATAATGTTTCTTTTATTACTTTATGGATTCAGTTTATGTTTTGTGCAGAGCAAATTGATGCGGTAGTTTTGTTTTTGATAGTGGTTTCCCTCATTATATCCAGTGAATGTTGAGGTAGTTCCTTAAAATAGGCAGTGATCACCACCTTCCAAATCCCCACACCTCGCACATGTATATATAACCTCTGTAGTCAGACCAGCGTTATTTAATGACCAAAGAATAATTTATATTTTTTCTTGTGTGGGCATCTTATTGTTTCAGAATAAATGAATAATTAAATTATATATGCTTTGTATTTCCAGGACCAACTCATTGCTTGAGAAAGTATGTAATGAGGTGGGAAGAAGTCATTTTTATGGTTGCCTGTGGGAATGCTTGGCATCTAATAGTGGGATTCGCCTACCTGCTATATCTTTTGTGCTGTCTCACTTCAACAAGAAACACACTATGGAAGACCAGTTGTATATAATGGGTACTAACATTGATGTCATGGTAAGAGATGGGTGGTATGATTGCCAGTGAATTAATACAGAGCATGTTACAGTTAACTGTGTAGATGCATTTACATTTTGATGTGCTGACTTTTATTACCACAAGTATGAAAGACTAAAGAAGATGAGCATGTTACAATTAATTTTGATGTGCTGACTTTTATTAAAAACCACAAGTATGAAAGACTAAAGAAGATATTTGTGACATAATTAGGTGGTTATATTTTTAGAGATTGGTTCCTTAAGAAAATCTGGATAGTTGTATGCTATAACATAATATGATATATATAATTTTTTTCAGGTAAATGCATTGTGTGCTGGAGTGCAGGATTCAAGTGTTTTAGTTCAAAGGAGTGCTCTGGATTTGCTCCTAGTGGGTTTCCCCATGCACAATAGCCAACTGGTTCGAGCAGATATGGTATGCCTCGTTACAGCTGCTCTTGTAACTATTCTCCGGCGTGATATGTCATTAAACAGGTAAACTGAATGAAAATAGTATATGTTCTGGCTCCTACTAATCATCATCATTACTGAAGCAAATTCTGCTTATTAAACATCATTTATATATTTTTTTATAATTACTGTATGCACACTTTTGTATTTTTGTAAAACATGTATTTAGTTTAGATAAATTTGGAAAGGAATTGTTCTTTAAAGAAGTATGTCATAATTCTGAACAGATGTAGAGTTTTTACAATTTATTTTGATTTTGTGTAGTTTTCTTAGTGCTGTAATTCCTTGCCAACTGGTAATTTCATTCCTGAAAAGCACTTTGTTGGCATAACCACAATTTGTGAGACCAAGACTTGTGGGGAATTCAGGTTAGGGAAACTATGGCTGCTAGTAAGCCTGAATTGGCTGTTTCTTCATAAAACAAGTAATATTCAATAACATGTTCAGAATAAATTATACATAAAATATAAGAATATGTTATGAAATAACACGCTGCAGTGGTAACCTGGAAGCGATTTTCAGATGTCTTTACAGTCCTGTCCCCAGAAAATGCTATTCTCTTGACTTGGAAGCCACTGGCATTTTCTGTTTGTACAAAAATTAAAAAAAAGAGCTGATACATGAAACCAAATACTGCAGTTCAAAAAATTTTATACAATTAGGAAACAGTGGATACTTGAAATCTGCTCTTGGTAAAACTGTGGTTGTTAGGGGATTGTTGTCATTCATATTTTATTTATAAACGTATGATGTTTTTCAACATTAACATGTCTTCAGATATGTTATATCATAAATTTCAATTAAAAGTTTTAATAGTTGGTTACCACTGCATGCATATTGAATTGTTTTTTCTAGTTAATTGTAGGAGAGATGAACTTGTATGGAAGAAGCACAATTGTAACCTGCTTCTGGCAACAAAATGTACTAAGTGCATTTATCAAGCACATATAAGTTACACTGTTTATTGAGATTATTGTATTAAAAAGTGGAGTATTAAAGCTGTTTCTAAAATGTTATTTTTTTGCAGGAGATTGTTTGCATGGCTGTTGGGATCAGAAGTCAACATTTCATTACTGAGTTCAGAACATCCTTTAGTAAAGAAAAGTAAGAGCTCTGAAGGATCAAGTAGTAACCTGTATTTTGATATGTATTCAAGAGAAATGCTAATTCAGGTTTGTAATGTTCATAAATGTCATTACTGCAGTGTTAAAAGGTTTGTTTTCTTAAATTGAGATTGGGCATTGTTACATTGTGTTTCTCAGAAAAGTGTTTCATGCATTTTTAAACGTATTATGTAACCCTATCATTATGCAGGCCCACATTCTCAATATTACCATTAGAAAACAGTATTATTTGATTAAAACAGTTCTCCTCACAAATAAATAGTATCATAGATCCAACAGAAATAAATACCTAAATACAGCTGGCATTCTTTGACACCTCCACTTTCATATTGGAATAGTGCTTGAATCACTTAGACTTCTCGTCTTTCATTTTTGTCAGTTCATCACCGCCTCATTTTCATTTGATGATATAAACTGGAAGGAATGCATGTGAAGGGACAGAATGAAATAAAAGGTGTGAAATAGGTAAGAAAGGGCTAAGGGATGAAGATACAGAAGAACTAATTTCCCATTAAATTTTAATGGGCTGTTTTCACTAGTTAAAACACATACTTGCTCATTAACATGTGATGATTTTTTCACAGGCTATCAAAATTACTTTGAGTCAAGGAGAGGGAGAATCTCCTCACGACTTACGTCCTTACAGGTTGTTGGTGTCACTGCTAGATAAGCCTGATATTGGCCCGGTTATACTGGATGATATTCTATATGAAGTATTCAGGTAAGGTTCCTTATGTCGAGTCTTTCAGTTCTGTTAAAATTAAGGAGTTTGAAGCATCATACACCTTACTTTTTTTAGTTGTGTATATTTTATCATTTTTAAATACAGATCTAACCAAAAAGTAATGTAGGTTTTTAAAAATGGAAACTAGAAAGATTAAACAAGGTGATAAACTGATTGATCAGTACAGGATATTTTGTGAGCAGTATGATTATTCACCTGTTCAAGAAGTGATTGTATCCTGAGCATTTAAATGTACTCTTTGTTCTTTGATTTCATTTCACTGAGCTTCCTTTTCAATATTATTCTTTCTTCTGTGGTTTGATTTTCCATGCAATCTTTAATCCAAAATATACGTGCATTTCTTGTTGCCTTGTCTTGCCTGTGCATCATCCTACATGTTTTAGTCACCCTTACAATACTATTGTTATCCTTATATTGATTTGGTCAGATATCTCGTAACCATTTTAATTTCAGATGTCATTCTGTGCTATTAAGAAGAGTTTAAATGTGATAAATGATTACTGCTTAAAACTGCCTGCTACATTATGGGCTCTTCACTTCATTATAGAAACATTGTTTAATCAGCTTACAAGCGTTCTTACTTTCAGAGCATTATACCTGGCATGTGAGAGTAATGATGACAGTTTTGGAAAGGGTGGCGGAACTATGCACAAAGGAAGTCAGGAGTTGCTCAAGAGTGCCAACTTGTTCTTCAGTACCCTGGAACCATGCTACATTTGGATATATGCTGGAACACTGTTTGATGAAGCCTGTGAACAGCAAACAACAAATGATGAGACAGCAAGCCCAGAGAATGGGTCAACACCCAAAGAAGAAGTTAAACCTGTTGGAAGTGGACCACCAAACCTTTTAGAGGTATGGGTGAGATTACCAGTGTAAAAATTATGATGTGAAAGGAAACAGTAGACTTTCCAGTTGATTCTTCTGAGTAAGAATTAAAACATGAATGTTTCAATATGAGGATATGATGCCAATTTTTTAATTGTGAATTTCTTTTACAATCATTGATTCAGTTATGTAGTTGATTACTCCAGGATTTATTCCCATTTGTCCTGAAGTAATAAAGACACAATGTATACATAGGCAGTATATGCAGATGGTAAGCTAAGTCTCTGCAAGAGAGGCTGTATTTGTTTATAAAACTATATAACTATTAGTTCTGGATATTCAGTGTTCTGATACTTATACAGTGAAACCTCAATGCATCGTTTTCGTCAGGGGTGGGAAATAAAAACGATGAATACGGGAAAACGATAGTTGCGGGAAAGCATTAAATTTTTTAAAAAAACAATGTTTCTCTTTCAAAGTTACTTCTTTTTACCAAAAAAGTCTTTAATGGACAACTGGTTTGTCGAAACTTTACGTTTTAGGCCAAACAGAGCCCTTTCCACGTTCAAAATGTTTTCCTTGTCACGTTCACTAATATTATGCGCATAAAAGAACGACTTCACTTTTGCCAATGCAG